TAGAAATAAGACAAACAATTTGCTTTTCACCCCTTTTATTCAGTACAAGATTAAGGTCTCAGCCAGAATGTGGTGGCAGCAGCCATGCACGCCTTGAGTCTCAGGAGGATCTCTGTTAGCCAAACTGGCCTAGTGAGTTCTAGGCCAGCCAGGGTAACATAAGATCCTGTTGCCAACAGTCTCAGCAAGAGTAAGAACACAAAAGAAATAAGGACATCCAAATAGAAGAGGAGGGGTTTAAGTTAGCCCTGCTTGTAGATGACATGAACTATGTATATTTTGTATAGCATATAATTACTTATACAATTATATATAAAACAATGTTACCAAAAACCATTAAAACTGATGAATTCAGAAAGGTTACAGAATACATAATTAACTGGGTAAAGGTGAAAAATAAATCAGAAAACTAATACCAACAAAAATTTTACATGAACTATACATACAAATAAATTTAAACAAAGAAGTGATTGATATCTACAATGATAATTACAAAATATCAATGAAAGCAACTAAAGAAGACACTAAATTACAAGATTTCACACAACCTTCCCTTGTTGGTGGATGGAAGAATTAATATTTTCAGTTGTCCATAATGCCCAGAGTGATCTACAGACTGAATGCAATGCCCACTGAGATAGACATTCTTCAAAGAAACAGAACAACCACACCTAAAATCTGTGTGAAACTGTGAAAAAATTTTTAAAAAGTTAAGCCTTACAATATCAGACTTCAAAACGCACTACAAAGGGTAAGGAATAAGCTAAACTTATTATAGTATAGTTCTGATATGAAAACAGTATGTGATTTAAATTTAATTTAGTAACATGCACTCCACCCTACATTCAGACATGCCACCAAAAAGGAACAAGTGGGGAGCTGATGAAACAGAATAGAAAACCCCAGGATACAAGCATATATCCATAACCAAAAGAAATAAACTATATACAAAATCAATTCCAAATAAACCAGACTTAAATATAAAACCTGAAACTTTGAAACTATTAGGGGAAAAAAAAAATCAGGCACACACTTGAGAACATTACTCTGGGCACAGCTTCCTTTGGATATGACCTCAAATGCCCAAACAACAGACACAACCTTGACAAATGGGATCATATCAAAAGTTACTGCATGACAAAAAAGACAATCAAGAGAGTATGAGAACACCTACAGAAGGAGAGGAAATGCTTGCAAACTGTTCACCCAGGGGAAGATAATCCTGTAAAACAAATAATGACCTCAAACTACTCAAATGCAGAAAGTAGTAAGGATCTGATTAAAAGATGAGTGAATAACCTGAACAGACATTTCTCCAAAGAGGATACACAAATGGCCAGTAAACATGAAAAGGAAGCTCTATGTCACTAGTCACCAAAATCGTGAGAACAGACTACTTGCCTACAAGTCTCTAGAAATTTCTCAATAAATGCAAAAAACAAACCGACAAACAAAACCCACAATGAGAGATCACCTTTAATCTCAGCACTCAGGAGGCAGAAGCAGGCAGATCTCTGAGTTCAAGGCCTTCCTGGTCTGTATAGTGCATTCAGGCCAGCCAAAGCTACATGGTGAAACTCAAAGAAACAGGAAAAAAAAAAAAAAACAGCAACAACAACAACAGAAAAAAACACCTCCAACCAACAACAAAAAGCATGCAGTTGGAATAAAGCCAGGGCACCCCTGTGATGTCAGCACCTGAGAGACAGATGCAGAATGAGTTTGAGTTCCAAGCAGAGCTACATGGTAAGATTATGTCTCAGCAAAAAAAAATTAATATTTAAATGAATAAAATTAAGCCAGAGTGGGGAAACACATGTGTACTCCCATACCTTAGAATTAGAGACAGAAAGATCTTTAGTTAAGGTAATTGTGGGCTACATAGTGAGATACTGTCTAGAAGAAGAGAAAGGAGGTGGAATTTGAAAAATAACAAGGGCTAGCAAGGATTCAGAGACAGCAGCTGTCATATGCTGTGGTAACATCAATAAATATACCATTACAGAAAGTCCTATGACTGCTGCTCAAAAAATAAGAACTGGACCCACCAGTAAGGATTCCCCAAGCATCGCTAGGTAGATATTCAAGGTCCTAGAGTCAGTATGAATAAAAAAACATATGCATTCTCATGTTTACTTATTTTTATTTACATGTATGTGTGTGTGCATGGAGCATATGCCACCCATGCAGGTGCCCTTAGAATGGGTTAAGAGCACTTACTACTCTTCTGCAGAACACAACTGCCTTTAACCTGGGCTCCAAAGATCTGATGCCTTCTTCTGGCCTCTGCTGGCATTGTATTTACATGCACAAACACACATAGAGAAACACACACATACACATAATTTCTTAAAAGCAGGTCTTTTTTCAAGAAAATATAGACACAAAGGATTATTCAGCCTTGTTCAGAATATCAAAATAAAACTGTCATTAGCAGAAAGTGGACGGAAGTAAAGAATATTATGTTGAGTAAGCTAGGGGCACAAAGACAAATACTGTATTTTCTCATTTATATGTGGAAATTAAAAGTTGGTCTTACCCTGGAGAGGACAGGAGCTCCACAAGGACCAAATATATCTGGCCACAGGGGTCTTTTATGAGACTGTTTCTCCAACCAAGGACCATGTATGGAAATAACCTAGAACCTCTGCTCAGATGTAGCCCATGGTAGCTCAGTATCCAAGTGGGTACCCTAGTAAGGGGAACAGGGACTATTTCTGACATGAACTCAATGGCAGGCTCTTTGACCTCCCCGCCAAGGGAGGAGCAGCCCTGCTAGGCCACAGAGGAGGACATTGCAGCCAGTCTGAAGATACCTGATAAACCAGGGTCAGATGAAAGGGGAGGAGGTCCTCCCCTATCAGTGGACTTGGAAAGGGGCAGGGAGAAGATGAGGGAGGGAGGGTGGGATTGGGAGGGACTGAGGGAGTGGGATACAGCTGGGATCTAAAGTTAATAAATTGTAACTAATATTAAAAAAAAAAAAAGAAAGAAAAAGGTTGGTCTTACATAAGGAATAGTGATTATGAGAGGCTAGGGAAGGTGTGGGGAAGGAGGGATGGAATAGATGGTTAATGAGTACAGGAGTACACATGAATAAGAGGAATCAGTAGGGCATGGTGGCATATGCTTTTGATCCCAGCACTCAGGGAGGCAGAAGCAGGCAGATGCTCTGAGTTCCAGGCCAGCCTGGTCCTGAGTCCAGGACAGCCAAGAGGAACCCTGTCTTGAAAAAAAAAAAAAAAAAAACCAAAAAAATTTAAAAAAATAACTTTTAAAGGAAGCATTTCTAAAGACCAAAAGCAAAGTAGGATAACTATGGTTGAAAAAAATAACCATTAGAAAATGGCTAGCCTTGAAGGATTCTTAATGTTGCCATACAAAGAAATAATATATATTTCTAACATAATAGGTATATCAAATTCCTCTGATCTCATCACCACACATGGTGTCCATGTTTTGAAATGGTACTTTATACATAAATGTATAGTTTACTATGTGTCATTTAAATTTTACTATATATTTTGGGGCCAGTAAGACGGCTCAATGGGTAAAAGCGCTTGTTGTGTAAACCTAATGACTGGAGTTCTCTCCTGGGAAACCATGGTGCAAGGAAAGAACAGACTCCAGAAGGTTGTCCTCTGACCTATACACAGAAAGAGAGAGAGAGAGTAATATATTTCTTAAATAAATAAATACTAAACAAATTCTTGCATTTTTGTGAAGTTACTGATGCATTAAGGACATTATCACATGCAGTGAAGGTCATTGGCCTGATGGTTTGCTTATCACACTCAATTAACGCAGGGTTCATACCACCCATCTTTAGAAAGAATGATTTCAGACTCTCTTAGTTCCCAAGTAAGTCACTTAGGAGTAGTACATATCTAGTTGTTTCCATTTGCATCTATTCATCCAGAGGAAAAGCAAAGGATGTACCATGTGTGGAATCCTGCAGCTGGGCAACGGTCCCTACACAGCTGGAAATCTACTGGCTGACTGGCTTTCTGAGCAAGGTAGCTTATCCTGGTTTGGGGCACCCATGTGTCCACCATAAGATGAGAACAGGGAGGCCTCGGGAAGGTCAGTCAATCTCTCCTCGTTTAACCTTTAGGTACTCAGAATGGTATTCCCTGAGAGAATAAATACAAATCTGAAGAGTGGAAGGATCTTGCAGATCACCAAACCAAACCAATGTCTTCCCCATGTCCCCCTCGTCCAGATGTGGGTGACAACAGAAACTGTTACCTAGGCAATGTTGGGACGGGACAGAGGAACACTTTCAATAAATCTGTTTGGGTTCGCGCACCCAGGTGGATATGCTCCGGGCCCGCGCCGCAGGGAGTAATTTCAGTGACACAGAGGTGAGCCAGGCGGTAGCCCGGGACACCGGGCATGGGTCGCCTTCAGTCTCCACCAGACTACCTCACTCTGGGCGCCAGCAAAACCCAGCCGCCGGTCGCCCAGTCCCCGGCCCGGAAGGAGCCACGGGCTGCGCGTGCCCCGTCCACGCGCCCCTCCCGGGGCCCGGCCCCGCGCAGGCGCCGTGGCTCGCGAAGCCTGCACGCCGGCCGGCCGCCGCGGCCACCCGC